ACTAAATTCATCAACTCTTGAAAGGTTTTAGTATCTGGTGGCTCAGGAAAAGTCAGAATCCCAATAACCAAAAAAGCTGCAGGTCACAAGCTGTCAGGAGAATTACTCATTGCTTTTCATCTGCCCCAATGTCATTTGCCTGGAAAAAATAACACATTCTTTCCACATACTGGGTTCAGTCTTCAATGGCAGGATCGAAGGAGCCAAGCTTCCCAAATAACAGTATGATGCCAGAAATGCTTACCCCAACTTAAAGATGACTGTTGCGAGCAAATTTCTTTAGGAGTTTGCTTTTCTCTTGTCACCTGAAATAACTCTGCAGAGGCCGGTATCCCATCACCAAGTCACCCTTTATTTACATATGGAGAGTCCTTGACACTGATCCAGCTCCTTCAGAGCCAGCTCTGAGTGAGTAGAATATCTGAGACCCCTGCTCTTATCTGTCAGTTAGGGGTCTCTGATTGGACCAGATTAACAGCCCCAATCAGGGAACTCATATTCTATGAGGCTGATCTTGCTACAATCACTTAGGTAGCAATGAAGAAACAGTGTGTGTTGTTAGTGTCTGAGATGTTGGATCTCTTGTGCTCCTTCTACTCACCATTTGTTCATTATGTCATGGATTTTACTCTGTACAACCACCTTTAACAACTTATGCAAGTGCTGCTATTCTCTTTAGTAATGGTTTCCAGGCTGCAAAAGATTTCCACTTGCACTCAATTAGGTCCTATATTTCATGGTCATTTTCAACAAACCACTCTAAATGTTTCCTGATAGAGACCTTCTCATGGTGCTTGTTACGGTGGGATTTGGGGTCAAAACACATACTCATCAATCACTCAAAACCACTTCTGCTGTACATAATGTGTTGGCTGTGTGCCTTACACTGGATTCCTGAAGCATCTGCTCTGCTAGCAGCTCACTCAGAGCAGGATACTCACAGGAGAACAGAGTAATTGTTTAGAGATGTCCTTGAAGTGATCAGTCATCCATCCTGACACGTGAAATTCTTTTGACCTGAGACTGTTCAAAGTGAAGAGGGGCCATTCAGGAATGGAGCAAACACATGAAGAAACTTTGACAGGAATGCGCAGTATCAAAGTTGAGAAATCAGAGGGAGCACACAAATCTCTGAGCACCTTATCTAGCCAACCTTTCAATCATCATTTGTCCTGACAGAGTCTGCAGATCAGAAATAGGACTGATGAACCATCTCGGAACACATCGAACTGTTGTGAAAGGAAGTCATTCTTAATCCCAAGGGACTTTCTCAGTGGAAGATAATTAGAATTCACAGCAGAGTATCTCGGGTCTGTATTGTAAGACAGTAGACGTGGTTTAGTTTGAAATGAGAAGCCTCTCAGTGTGCAATTTGCTATTGTCAAGAGATTAGTTTTGTCTGTTATTTGCAACATTCAGGTAGGAGTCATTGACCAGATCTGCAAATGTGTTTATGAATAAAATATGTTTTGATACCATATGGGAGAATATCAAGCACTAACAGATCATACTTACCGAGGAACCAAAAGACAGTTTTTAAAAAAAAATACCGAAAGGAGAGGTTTGGTCCAGCAACATCTTAAAAAGAGAAAAAGCAAATTTAAAATTCGAGCTTTTCAACTTTTAGAGTTAGCAATGGAAAGTAGGACACACCCATGACCATGATTTAAGTTTCCGAGGCAAATATTTCTTCAAGAGATGAATTTCAAACTTAGTGATAAGCCCAATAAAACCTGGAAAAGTGAATGTTAACACACTGGTGTTCTGGTTTTCTTTCAATTTGACATGGAGACTAAAGCTGTCCATATCAATGAGAGGCATACACCAAGAGGGCTCATTTGGCCCCTATATCACACTGAGACTGCTTTAGGCAACATTGAGTTCAGTTGCAGATGAAGCTAAAATTCTGTTATATGTTCACACAATGTGTAATGCTATGGCTTTAATCTGCAAAAAATAATCTGGAAGAAACAATCATTCCTGACTACAAAATTTGATTTGATTTTCGTACTACCTTCTGTAGAAATTTAGAAAAACATAAGATGTGATAATCTATTTCACATTCTTGCTGGATTATTTCACTGGCATTCAATTTAGAGCTGTTTTTCACTCCGTTTATTTCTGATTCATCACCATTGACATCTGGAAAATGATCATGCAAATGCAGTACTTGCTCTGACTTCACAGATAGTAGTCTCAAATATAGTTGCCTCAAAACATACTCACCAAACAGGGCAAATTTCTGCCTTTTAAGTAAGTGCGCTGGCACTTTCTAAAATTTAACCTATTTTACCAATCAATCTGTTCAGAGATGTTATTACACATCCCGAAGCAGATGGGACTTGAATCTGGGCCTCCCAGACCAGGGTATGGACACTACCACTGCACCAGAGGGCCCAGCTACATTGGGCACTTCCGCTGGTCTTCACTAATAGGATTCATCTGTGCTGGATGCCTATCCTATCATTGTTATGCTGTAATTTGAGATCTGAATCTTAAATAGTTCTGTTTTTCCATAACTCTGGTACCTCGCTACCGGCAGTTATGTTGGTGGGCAATTACACTGAAGTCCCTGAATCCAATGCCTTGCAATTCCATAATGCAATCAAAAGAAGTTAAAATAATAACTGTTGCAGGTATCCAGTGAGAATAGTGAAATTGTTTTACCTTTGGATCCCGTAACCTGAAAACATTTTCAATTAAGAATCCTCACATTACAGAAGATCTCCTTAATTTTAAATTTACCTCATCTTGGGCATTGAACTAGATTTGTCTTGCAGTAGAAGACCCTCTGAGATGATTGCATATTTATCTATACTCAGATGATTTGAAGAATAGCTGTATAATTTCTAGTGGGCTTTCCCTTGTTTGCTGTTTTAATGCAGGAGCACAAAGATCAATGCAGTCCTTGAGGAAAATGGAGGGAGGCAACTTTTCAAAAAAACAGTATATGAAATATTAATTCTCAAAGCATTTACAGGTCTCACAGAGCCTATGAAAAATTCAGTGGAAAGTGTTGCATTAATTGCGTAGGCTTGAAATTTTGTACACTTTTCTGCCTGATTGCAATTCCCTGATCCCTTCTCGGGGGCCTTCTGCCATTTCCTTCACTTGAATGCTTCCTTCAAAAATATCTTTACAAAGCTTCTGTTCCTAATTTCCAACAATTCCAGTTACTGTAATGGTCTGAACGGCCAATGGATAATTAAATGAGGTAATTCCAAAATTGTAAGCAGCCATGTCGATATATTGAAGCTCAGTGACAGAGCAGAACAGGGACCTGAGCTTTTGATGGCCTTTTCTTTTAAAGCAAGAATAACCCAAAAGCAGGAACTTCCTGGGGTTAGGCCACTGATTAAATTCATGGCTAAACTTCTGTATGTGTGAAGAAATTGTTTGTGGCCCTAGAGGAAGGACCCTCATAATGTAGTACTTTATTCAGAGAATGGAGGTTTGGATTCAATTTATTTGAAGATTTTTACTGTCATATAAAGTGTAACTTTTATTGTAAAGATAATGAAAGGAATCTCTTTATTTATTGTCCAGGTTTCTCAGGGACACAGGAAGCTGATGAGAATTTAGCATCTTAAGAACATAACATAAAAGCACCTAAACCTCTAGATTTTTCTTGTGACTTAATCTTCCACACTCCAGATCATAGAGACTGAGCATATATCTGCAGATGCCCATCAGGACACTGCAGAAATCCTGACATGCACATCTACATGGGAATTAACCTCTACTTAGACTCCCAATGGACACTCCCTCTGCTCCCTTTAAATTCTGGAAATGTCTTTGACTCTGAGCTGCATTACCTACCTTGATATCTATCCTGTTCATTATAATGTAGTCTAACACTTGGATAACCACACATCCCAATCTCAATCATCCTCCAATTACCTCTGATCTCCCAAATATTCCCCAAACACCAAACAACTGTTCTGACTCCCAAACCAGACTGCTCTCCGTGCCAAATCAACTATAACCCACTCCATCCCAAATGGTTTATCCTCCCAACTACCACACACCCGCCTCACTCACCCGATTCACACATCTGCCTCTCATCCACCACCCACTTACCAACCTATCTTACCCACCTACTCGTTCATCCTCTCACCCATTCGTTAACATTCAAAAATTTGACCTTTGATCTTACCATACGGTATACGTCCTGTATCCCCTCAATACCATTCTGCTGTTTGAGTTCCTGGAGAGATGGTGTGCTGCACATTTCTGTGAATGCCAGGATTGGTAGACCCAAATAAAAATGCACAGCAACATTGGATCATGAATTTATGAGCAGAACAGCAGTTCCCTTGTCATTGACGCTGCTAAGAAAATCCTGGCCATGATCTACAATATTTTGCAGGACCTCTTCTGATGCTGCAAAATATGCTGTGTTATCAGCATTCTTCGAGTTTGTTCTTCTATTATCCTCAAGTATATCTAACTCTGAATATTTGTTCCCTGTACAGATTGAGTAATTTTTGGATACAGGATAGGACCCTTGTTGTATTCCTCTCTTCAGTTGAAACATTTGCCTCTTCTAGTCTGCTCATTATTTGCTCCAAATATGGCTCTGGTTACATGTCACATTTTTACTATCAATGTCACAATTCAGCAGCACATTAGTTAACTTTTGGTGATGAACACAATCAAACACTTTATCCATTGCCCTATGTGCGTATAGATGTTCTTGTTTACTTCTCGATATTTATCGAAGATTGTTCATGGGTTAAATATTCCTTCTCTCGTTCCTTCACTATCTAGGCTATGTTTCACCAGTTTCTGCTTCAGATGTGTTTTTCTTTCAATTATAATTTTCAAGATCACTTTAATGAGTTGACTCTTTCAGCTTGGAGTTCTATACCGATTGCATTTTATTGTTTTAGGTTTCTTGTGTATCTTAGCAAACAATGTCTCAAGTCAATTAACGTATATCCTTTAGTATATATTCAATCACAAATTTCTGTTATCACTTCTATTTCTGTTTCTCCAAGGCTTTCTAGATGTTCTGTAGATGTCCTGGACAATAAATAAAGATCTGTGGAAGAAAACAGAGTCCTTTTGAAATGTGGATGCTAAGGCATATGCTTAAAGTGCCATGTATAGACCATAAGTGAAGTGAAGAGGTGCTTGAAATATCAAGAGCAAAAGGAATTCTGAAAGAGTGGCATCCAGAAAAGAAGCTGTCAACATTTCAGCCATTTTGATCAGAGCTGAAAAGCTACAGAGATCTCTACTGGAGGATAAAGTTGAGGGCATCAGAAGAAGGAGTAGACCTAGATGTAATTGGATGATGGACTTCAGTGGTTGCAGGTGAACTACTGTAGAAATGGGGGGAATGATGCACAACAGGATAGCCTGTCAGCTCAATGACACCAGATCCTTTGGTAGGAGTAGTTATAAGCAGCGGAGAAAAAAATCTGATAATTTCATATTAATTGTATTTAATTATTTGTAAGCCATGGACAGTGAATGGGCATTCACTCTCTATAAGTAGACAGAGACTGATACTGTAGTTCGGAGTCAACTGCTTGTAATGCATCATTTTGTAAATAAACATAAAAATGTGTAAAAGTTGGCTCCAGTTCTATCCTTCCCTGTCTGGGTTTCTGGCATAGAATAACCTCTGGGTTTGTTTTCCCGAGTCTGCTGATTGTATCGGCACTGTGAATATGTCATTCAGAATGAGCAGTGACTCTGCTTTGCAGCCTTGACTGGTTCCCCAAAGGTACAGGGCACCATTGAGTGTCCACATGTACCAACTCAGGCAACCCCAGAACAACCTAAAGTATTTATCAATGGCAACGGCTTTCACTCCCCCAAAATGAGTGACCACAAAAAATGTCTTCACATGGTTTTGCATAAGGTTCCTGCACAACTGCCATGATGCTTCCATGTTGTGGCAGTTCAACATCTCTGATCTCTTCAATCCTAACAGCAGAAATGAAAGCTGGCTACTAGGTGACCAGGGCTACCCACTCCAAACTTGGCATGGCACCATCAGAAAGTGGTCAACTGAAGTGCTACAGTGGACATTAGATTCTACAGAATGGTTGTGGCACTACAACACTGCACAGAAGTGAGGCTTGGACCTGCAGGAGGAAGAATGCAAGAGCTCCAATCCTCTGCTGACAACTTGAGAAGAGGGGGTGGGGGGAAGAAGAAGAGACTGATTCCCTTATTAATGCTCAGTTCACTTACCTTACAACAGTTTGCCAATAGTGCCAGAAAGTGCATCTGTCACTCTTGCCCCACTCCTTTACCCCTCAACAGCCCCTGACAAAAAGCAGTCCTTCAACCAAACAGACACTCTTTGGATATTGACCTGATGATTCACGGTTTCACATTCAGGTGAGAAGGCTACTTTGCGGCCAGCACTTGAGAAGGACAAAGCAGGAAAATGGTGAGAAAAAGTGAAATTTATGTGAGCTAAGTAAAGAAACAAAACCTATCAAAACAACACTGTGATACACCCATGTGGATACACTTGTTGAACTACTAATTATCACTTTTGTTTCTTCTCCTTCTATATGTCTCAACTTCTATGACTTCAACAAAGGTAGAAGCAACATACTTAGATCTCTGCACTTATTGCTAAGATCCTTGTGTCTAATGTCCTTTTGATTTGGAGTCTTGTGAGCCCCATCGATGACTGCTCCACCTGCAGCAGCTTAGGGACATACTTTGCTCCCAGGACGCAGAGCAGCATGTGGGACAGAAATGGAAATGCTTTCAGGGTTGTACCCCATTCCATGATTGTTTAACATCTTTCTCGTGGTCCAGATACATGTCACCTTAGCATTGTGCTCGAGATCACTTTGGTGTAGATCATTGTGGCTCTATAAGACCATGGCTAAGATACCTGCGAAGATTTTTGTGATGGACAATATGCCAGCATCCCAACTCTGCACAAATGATGAAGGCATGCTTGAATTCATTTGGTTGGCTGTATGATGGTCTTTGCACTTGGAGCTAGTTGGCAGGATAGCTGGTTTGTTATACAGAGTGATGCCAACAGTGTGGGTTCAATTCCCACATCAGCTGAGATACTACGAAGGACTCTCTTTCTCAAACTCTCCCCTGGCCTAAGGTGCGGTGACCCCCTCAGACCTACCACCTGTGATATCTCTGCAATGAGAGTGCAGGTCTGTAGTCTGGTAAGACAATGATGACTTTACCTTTTTTCTTTAGATCTGTTCATTGGCTGTCCTAGTCATAAAAGAAGGCATCGTCTCCGTGGTCTCTGATATCACACCCGCATGCTAAAATTGATTGCTTCAATCTCTCTGCAATAATGGTGGCCAAATTCGAAGGTCTGTCAGTGTATTGCACATTTTCTCCTGCTCTTTGATGATTCATCTCTTCATCAATGGCCCTTTGAGTACATCACAACCACATCGAGTTGAGCAGGGCTTGGAGATATTGTGCCACTTGACATGAACTCTACATTGTCGCCCATTGTCTGCTCTTACTGACTTGTAAAGTGTAAATAACCAGGAGAAAACCCAACAACCTACCTAACTGATGTCACTTGAAGTGCAAGTCCCTGAGCAGATACATGTTCAGAAGAAGTCCTGTGATGGTGGACCTTCAGAAAGATTAATCTCCTCTGAGGTCTCTGAGTCTACAGTGCCCATTATCTACTGTTGTGCAGGTGAAAGCTCTATCCAGGTAAAAAAGTATGATTGAGAACAACAAGTTTGAATATTATGCATTTTTTTTCACAAATGCTCTCTGACCTGAGTATTTCCAGCATTATTTTCTATTTCAGATTTCCAGAGTTTGCAGCATTTTGCATTCCTGTGAGTATATCGTGCAAGTTGCCATCAAAAAATGATTATAACTTACTCCCTGTTATTTTCTTCAGATGAAGATCCGTGGCACGAACAAGCATTCAGGCTTTAAATTTTGTTTTTACTCATTGATGGAATACAGGAATCACTAGCTGGGTCAGCCCTAGAGAAGTTGGTGGTGACTTGACTTCTTGAACCACGGTAGTCTGTGTGGTTAGGGACATCCACAGTGTTATGAGAAAGGGACTTCCAGGATTTTGACCCAGCAGCAATGGAGGAACAGTGATATAGTTCCATCAGGATGGTATGTGATACTTGTCCTTGCCGTAATGAAGTAGACCTTTGAGTTGATATGCTGTTCCCAAAACTGTACTTTGAGAGATCTCACAAATCTGCAATCCATGGTATCCCATCTCCTAATTCAAAAGCATGGAAAACCAGGGCTTGGGAGTTTGCATTTCACTGTGAGTGGGAGAGTGATAGAGGGAAATCAGTCCTTTTATTACACATCTCAAAGGATAAAAATAGTCCAGCAAGGCATCACTTAGCACAAAGCTCTTGATATCGTAAGTTGGTTCCTGCACCTGCCTGTGACTAATTGTGCATCATAGTCATTGAACACATATGGTGTGAAGAGGAAGTAGCATTGGGAGAGCAGTGTTACAGTAATCCATCTGCCAGCAATGGCTCAGTTGGCTGTACTCTTATTACTGACTCAGAAGGCTGCAGGTTCAAGTCCCACTTCAGCTGAGACTCTGTTGGAGTGTAGATATTAGAGGAGCTGCCTTTTATCCTCTCTGACATATGTAAAAGCCCACACAGCACTATTTTAAAGAAGGTGGGGTGCTAGCCACTGTATCCCAGCCAAAAGTTACCCATCAGTTAACATCACAGGAACATCTGGTCACTATAGCATTGTCATTTGTAGGCATTTGCTGTGAATATACAAACATATAATTCTCGAGCAGGAAAAGGCCATTCAGTCTTCTGATCCTGAACTACCATTTAATAAGATCATGGCCAATTCGATGGTGGCCTGAATTCTACCATTCTGTCCACCTCTTCTTATCCTTTAACCTTCTTGTCAATAATCCACTGAACTGCGCCTGCCTCCACTGCTTTCTGGAGAAAAGAATTCTACAGATCAATGAGCATCCTTTTTTTAAACTGTATCTCCCATTTCTAGTCTCTCCTACAAGGAGAAACATCTCTGCTTGCACCCCATCAATTCCTATTGGGATTCTTACATGTATCTTTCAAATTACTTCTCAATCTTTTAAACTCCAATGGATGCAAGTCCAACCTGTCTAAATGCTTGATGCTAAGATAGACCCCTCATCATAGGAATCAGTCGAATGAACCTTCTCTGAATTGTTTCCAGTGCTATTATATCCTTACTTGTGTAGAGATAAAAATTGTACATAGTTCTCCAGGTATAGTCTTACAAACACCCGAGGCAACTTTAATAAAATTTTCCTTTTATAGCATGTTCTATTACACCATTTGGTTTCTAAATCACCTGTTGCACCTTCAATGTAGCTTTTTCATGTGATTCATGTCCCAGGATGCTTAGATCCCTTTGTACCACCAAGTTTTGCAGTTTTCCTCCATTTAAATAATATGCTGGTTTTCCATTCTTCTTGCCCAAGTGGATAAGTTCATATGTTCCTATTAACCATCATTTGCCACCTGTCTTTTGCTACTCACTTAACCTATCAATATCCCTTTGTAAGACACTTTGTTCCCTTAACAATTTTCTTTACTACCCATCTTTGTGTTGTCTGCAAATGTAGTTATCATGTACTCAGTCCCTTCATCTGTTCTTATATGCACATACGTATATATAATAAATATTTGAGGATCCAGCACTGATCCTTGTGGCTCTCCACTAGTTACAGCTTACCAACTTAAAAATATGTCTCTGCTTTTTGTTAGGCAACGAATCCTCTATCTATGATAATATGTTGCCATCCCCCTGCCCCCACACCATGGAACATAGAACAGTACAGGCCCTTCGACCCACGATGTTGTGCCGAACTTTTACCCTAAACCTAAGGTCTATCTCACCTCCACCCCTACCTTTTACTATAATCCATATGCCTATCTAATAGCCGCTTAAATGCCCCTAATGAGGCCGACTCCACTACCCTCTCCGGCAATGCATTCCACGCCCTGACCACTCTCTGAGTAAAGAACCTTCCTCTGATGTCTCCCCTATATCTACTATATCTACCTCCACTCACTTTAAAACTATGCCCCCTCGTAATAGCTACCTCCACCCTAGGAAAATGTCTCTGGCTATCCACTCTATCTATACCTCTGATCATTTTGTACACCTCTATCAAGTGCCATGTGCTTTCATTTTACATAGTAATTTTTGATGTGCAACCTTACTCGGTTGATTCCAGAGTTGGGAGGGTTGGATTATGAGGAGAGACTGAGGAGACTGGGATTATACTCGTTGGAACTCAGAAGAATGAGGGGAGATCTTATAGAAACATATAAGATTATGAAGGGAATAGATAAGGTGGAGGCAGGGAGGTTGTTTCTGCCAGCAGGTGAAACTAGGACTAGAGGGCATTGCCTCAAAATAAAGGGAAGCAGATGTAAGACTGAGGTCAGGAGAAACTTCTTCACCCAAAGGGTTGTGAATCTGTGGAATTCCCTGCCCAGTGAAGCGGTTGAAGCTACCTTGCTGAATG